TTGTTCCTCATTAGCTGATTCCAAAGATGTTTTGGTTAATAAGTATCTGAGGTATCTTTTTAAGAAACCTCGGTGAAAATAATAAATTCTAGATATAGAGATTTTGTGGAAAAACTTACCAGTTATCCCATATGAATCTATTTATATATAATGATTTTTAGGGAAACATATTGTAGTAAATAGGTAAAAAAGTGGGATTCATTGAATAATGCTTTTGTTTTTGTCAGTGAGATTTTCTAAACGTTTGCATACAGTATTATTTCTTCCATTTCAAAATAATTTAAAATAAAAGCATTAAAATTAAGAATGTTGTTATTTTTTTAGAACATAGTATTTAATTAATAAATTTTATTAATTATACAAACATACATTATTTGATTGGTCACATTATATCCAGTAAATGTAAAAGTTACATAGATGTGAGAAAATTACCTATATTTTGAAATAAAAAAATTTCCTAATACTATTTAAAATAAAAATGAAGGGAGTAGTAAATAGTTTTAATGAAAATACATTATTTAATTTGTTAATAAATAAGAATTTATGAAGAAACTATAGTTTGTAAAAAAATAAATGATTATTAATAAAAGAGATCGAACTATAAAATCAGCATTTGTTACTTTGTATTTGTAACTTTAAGAATTATTATTTTCCAGTAAAATAGTTATAAGATTTATTACTCTAAGTAATTCAAAAACAGTTATTGTTGATTTTTAGTATTTCTTTGAATTGGATTTTAATTTAAATTTTAGTATTAAATAACTTTATTCAATATAGTTAACAAAATATCTGATCAGACCATTGTAAAGCCATTTATACATTTTTATATTTGATCAATGGGTTATGTCGACCACTCGCGGTGGCTCTCCTCCTGTCAGGAATCCTAGGAATCGTTTCAGTTTCTTCATGCGTATAACCAAGTTGGAGGCGATCGAGGCTACAATACAATTTTTTACATCTAATCTTCAGTTGTGATTCACTTTGTCCATCATTAGCTGATGCCAAAGATGTTTTGGTTAATCAAAAACATCTGAGGTAACTTTATAAGAAATTTGAGTAAAAATAATAAACGTTAGATGTAGAGATTTTACGAGAAAACTTACCAGTTATCCCATATGACTCTATTTATATATAATATTTTTTAGGGAAACATATTGCAGTAAAATTGCAAGAAATAGATAGAAAAAGTGGGATTCATCGAATGATACCATAAATATCCTTAATTAAAGATGAACCGACAAACAAACGAAAATTCAAAAGATTAACCAAAAACCATGACACGTATCATGTTGAGAAAGAAGGAATTAGTGACATGACACTCTCAGATGAGAGAACATCATATTTTATATAATAAAACTAGGTTAATAACCGCGCATTTACGCGGGATGAAAATTATATATATATATATTATTTTATGTCTTATTCTTTATTTTATTTTTTATATATTATAAATAAATATATATCTATATATATTGAATAACTGAAAAATCTGTAACTATTATATATATACAATTAATTTAGCGAGCATTTAAATAAAATAATCATATTTGTTTATTTACAATAATTTTATATAAGTAAATTTAATTAATAAATGATAACATATATATATATATTATATATTATACTTTTAATTTGGATATGTAATAAATGAAGCTTCACACTTACATAATTTTATGATCATTTCTATATTTTTATAATAAAAAATTAAAATATTGATAACATCATTTGTAGTGTGAGAGAATTATTATTTACAGTAATTTATCATCGTTTAAAAAATGAAATTCAAAGTTTGTCATTAAAGTATTAAGTTCTCAATACTTGTTCAATGCAATTTTTGGAATTAAATATTTATGTATTTTTAAATAGTATATAGTTTAATTTAATCATCACTAATATATATATATCTCTAATTTAAATATCTATTAAATTTATTACTCATTAATTATATAATTGTTTGTATCGGACTATAAAAAGAAAACTAAACTATTAATCAAAAACACTATATGTGAAATTTTTAAAAAAAATTATTAATTTACCGTCATTTTAAAAAAATCAAAATATAACATATATAAAAGGTCTAATTTTTTCGTTGTATAGTTAATGTTATTATTTAATTTATTTCACAATATAAATTTAACAAAAAGAATAGAGGCTATACAATTTATCAAATCTTTTATATTCAAATCATTAATTGTCATATATATATATATATTATAACCATATTAGGTAATTTCATAAATTTTATTTAAGGAAATAATGATTAGCATTAATAATAATTTTATCTTTAGTTTAATAAAAAGTATATTATATATTTATATGGACCAATATTTTTGTCTAGTAAATTTGAGAAACATTCTTATGATGACACGTGGCTATCAAAATATGTTGTAATGCTTCTCAATTAATATATAGGGGATTACAATTTTTGCCAATCAAAATGGTGTCATCCATATTTTCAGAAAATTTTGGCGAGTGGACTACTCGGGCAATTGGAATCACTCTAAAATTCGGGGAATGTTAAAAGATGTTATTCTTTGATTATCGTGAACAGGAAGAAAAAAAAAAGACTAATTGAACCGAACCACAACTACAATGTGAACAAAAATAAAAACTGAATCTATCTAGGTATCAAGGAATTTTTCTTCCTCCAGACTATAGTGCACTTCGAACAAACTAGTATAAGAAGTTTCCAAGTTCCAACAATCCACCGAAATTAGAATATAAATTCAATGCAATTAACATGTGAAAACAATGAACGCCCTAGTGGACTTAGTATGGAATGCACATATTTTCTCTCCTTTTTTATAATGTAGATTCCATTTTCTGATTAAATACTAATTTAGTATCATTCTCACACCTGAAAAAAGAAAGGGAATCAGAATAAATTGATACACTGAATATATACGTAACACAAATATAGTAGTTAAAAGTTTTGTTAATTATTCATAGCAAAATTATATTCGTTTTATCTCTATAATATTTTTTTTAAACAATTGTCGTGACCTTTTAATATATTCATAAAGTTTAATTACCTTAATAGCTTTAAGAAATTAAAAATTAATATAATATATTATTATTATTACTTTCAATTTTTTTCTTAATGATAATTTTTATTTTTTGAAAAAATAAATAAAAGATCTTTTATCAATTCTTTTGAAAACAACAAAAAATAATAACAGAGTTATTTTGAATCAATGTTATTATCAAATCAATTCTGTTAAATTTTATGAGTTTAATTATATCAATGTTATTAGTGAAATAAATTAATATAAAATAAAATTGTAAATTAAAATTATTATATTAGATATATCATTCTAATTTTATAATTAATAACACAAAAAGTTATTTTGAATCAGTGTTATTATCAAATAGTAAAATAGATATTAAAAATAAAATATTTGCCCAAAAAAGAGATTAAAAGAACGAAACTAAAAATAATTTTACTATAGTTATATTTCCAAACAACAAAAAGAGAAGAAAATAGTCTAGCACGATTATATAATTTAACATTTTTATTAAAATTATATGTAACTTAATAATATATAAATAAGTCAAATAATCAAAAATTAAAGTTATGATTTAAATTTAATTTAAGTCCTACATATATACTCATTAAATTAATTTTTTAGTTGTTGAAGCTTTAACTGAACGGTAAATTCAAAAAATATTACTCCCTCTGTTTCATTATAAGTGTCACTCTACAGCTGTGCACACGGATTAAGAAAACAATTAATTTTACATATTTCCTATATAAAAACCTAATTACCCATACACCTAACCATATTTCAACCAATAGAAAAACAAATTACATAATAAAATTAATAAATTTTGCATTGAAAACCGAAAACGACACTTATTTTGTAACGCAAAAAATTCTCTACAATGACACTTAATATGAAACGGAGGGAGTATATATTTAATTTGTTTGTGCGATTCTGGTCTGTACAATGCTACATTTTTCATTACTTTAATTTAAAGTAATACATAGTAATTTGAAAGAAAAAAATTAAAATATTCTTACAAATAATAAGAAAACAAAGTAATAAAATTAACAAAGGTTCAGTTTCAGCTTCATTAGAACCTAAAATAAGCACGGTAAAATTAAAAGGAGTTGATGAAATTAACCATATCTAGAAATAAATGACTAAACTAACATACAAAAATTAAATCATATCTTTAAGTGAACAACAACATAAAATTATTTAAACAACACTCCATTTACTTTTCATACATAATTTTTTTAAAAAAAATTGAAAACTTCTAAGCAAATGGAAAAAATATTAATCATTTTAATTTCACTAAATTTTGTAAATATTCATATTGATATTTGAGTTTTCAAACTATTGTTAACTATGTTCTCTAATATAGTGCAACTCTAATCCATTAACATTTTTTTCAAAAAAGGTATATTGAGCTATACAATATTTTATAAAGATATATTTACAAGTTTAAGATTAAAAACCAAATTACCAAAAAAACTGAAACAATTTGGAAGGATGAATGCAACCCATCATATCAAATATAAATAACGAACCAATCCAAATTATTATAATTGAAAATATGTTTGATTAAGAGAACAATTTGATGATAACAGTATCTTTTTGTATTAGTTTCCATATATGTAGATTTGAAAAAATATTAACTAGTTTTTTTTTGGTTGTTTTGAAAATAATATTTATTACGTTAGTATTATAGTTTTATCATGTATATTATTTACATGATTTTCCACTTCTGAACTCATCTCAGAGTTTTGACGTATGAGAAAATAGGAGCAATTAGAGAACACGTGAAATGTGATGCTGGCCATACGAATATTTTGCAAGCTGTTTCCTATCGAATAAATAAAAATAAACAAATGAAAAGACAATTAACGAGAACAACATAAAAATGATTGAAATCTAATTTTCACTTTTTTGCATTCGAGCATATCTTATATCTTTATAAATGGATAGAAATACTTGTGACCTTCAACTAAAGCTTGGAGCTCATTCTTTTATCAAATGGAGTCAGGTAATCAATCCTCAAGTTATTGTATTCTCTATTTTCATGTTATCTTTTACGAATCACATACGGCTTCAAAAGCTATATATAATAAATACAACTTTTTAACGACCGTAGGAAAAGCGCAGTCATCAGTCATCAATGCATGGAAGGAACAAAAAATAGCAAAGGTGACGAACAAGTAAGAAACAACACAAACCCCCTTTTCAAAGGTTTTGCTGTTTTTATTACGACGTTGTGACACTTTTCTAATCTGTAGGACTGAGAAGAAGCTCCTTGAGATTTCAGCATGGGAAAAAAGGCAAACAGCAAAGATCGAATCTCAACTCGCTAGTACCCAGGTGATTCCACAATCTTGAGACCTCTCCACACTCTTGTGCTACTTAATGCTTAATCCTGTTCTATTTCTATAGTAAATTGATCATCTTGATCATCTATCAAGCGATAAAGTAAATCAAATGATCTAAGAAAAACGTGACACTTGTTGTTCTGTGCAGAGGAAGATGGACAGTAAGAAAATGGAGAAAGCAGAGAAACTAAGAAGGAAGAAAGCAGCAGTTCATGCAAAAGCACAAGAGAAGAAGGCATGGGTTCAAACCCGACGCGCTCAACAGATACTCGATGCAGAAGACGAAGCTGCTACTTTTCAAGCCAGGGGTCAGGTTCCCAAAAAGTCATCTTTCAGCTGCTTCTGATAGCAGCATATTAATTAATAACCTATGTTACAGACTATGATTACCTATCTTTTGTACGTGTGACTGTTTTCATATTGCTTGTGTTGGTCATGGAACAAGAGTGCTAAAATCATTGTCTACAGATCAAAACCCTGAATTATCAACCTACTGACAGCACAGCAAATGCTAAAATCTGCAACCTAGGTGAATGGAGAAAGGAAAGAATATCATCTTTAGGTCTCATAAAACTCATTATTGAAGTTTGGAAAGCTGCAAACAAGGCATAAAAGAGTCAAGAAACCACCCGCTTCTTGAAGACGCATCACAACACTGACCACAGTCTACGACAATGACAGAAACATAGCACAAAACGACTTGTCAACAAAAAAATAAACTAGATAAAAGACTCCCACTTCCACGCATTTCACACCTTCCAGGCCTTGTCTATATGTAGTTGATTATTTAGAAAGAAGGGAAATCCAAAGACACATAAAACATGCTGATGGTAAGAGGCAGAATCTGAAGACTTTGGGTTCTGGTTGTCATGCACTGCTAGATAACTCACACATTGCATCAACCAACCTGAAACATTACACAAATTCAAATAATATTTTAGGGATCTCTCTTATATCGGGAGTAAACCTAAAGCAACAGAGCTTTTCTAGTGCAAACGGACGAGAATAAAGAATTGGCCTCTATATGCATTAAACAAACGAGTGATGGTCTTCCAAACAACACTATGTATTGTATACTGTAATAGACATAATCCTAGAATCCTGAGTTTACATGAAGTAAACGACTCCAATGTTAGGAGTAATTAAATTGTGTCAGTAAGTTCATATTACTTACCACTTATTACTGATATACCTAACAGAAGACCGAGACGGACAACCTTATTGGCAATAGATTGCCTGGTCGATATGTGGAGGAATTTGCTTGATCTCCGTTCCAAGCTCTTGCTCAATCCGGTAACTACAAATATATAAGACTAAGGTTAAACAATGCCATTGGGCAACATGAGCAAAATACAGGTACGAGAGAAAGACATACAGGTTAAAGCGGTCCTCATAGGTGATAAGATTCACAGCTAAACCAAGATGGCCAAATCTTCCTGACCGACCAACCTGAACAGTAACCGGGAACCATAATCAGATGACCATCAATCAATATGCAGATACCTAGTAAAATGTAGACATCTGAGCTTACCCTGTGAAGATATGTTTCGGCAGTCTTTGGGAAATCAAAGTTTATCACCACATTGACTGCTTGAATGTCAATCCCACGTGTGAACAGGTCTGTAGCAACCATCATTAAAATCATAAACTATTCATGTGAACACAACTTAGCTCAAAATAATAAAACTAGTGTCACTTGGTCCCCTTAAGGCCTTGAATAAAGGCACAACTGAATTATAGGAAGTACATAAGTGGCATTTTATCCATTGTGCCCCTGTGATAACAAAATAACAGGATTTAGGCTTACCAGTACACACAAGATTCCGGCATGCACCATTGCGGAAGTCATGGAACACTCTGTTTCGGTGGTCTTGAAGCATCTTTGCATGAATGTAAAAGCAAGAATACCCAAGTTCTGTAATTTTCTTAGCCAAGAGCTCCACACGGTTCACGGAATTGCAGAATATGATCGATTGGTTAATTTGCAGCTGCAGAACAAGAAGAGAGTAAATACCAGCTAAGGAACAAAAAATTAACAATACTTAAGTTCAGATCTAACCTTGGAAAATAGTGTATTCAAGCAATGAATTTTCTGACGTTCTTCAACAAATGCATAGAATTGGGTAATACCCTTGAGCGTGAGTTCATCCATGAGATTAATGATGTAAGGATTCGTCAAAAATCGATCCTTAAAATACTTGACAGTGACAGGAAACGTGGCTGAGAACATCAAAATCTGGCGATTTTCGGGAAGAAAGCTGATCAAATGTTCCACTGAAGGTTGGAACTCATGAGATAAAAGCTTATCAGCCTGAAGAAAAGATAAATATTTAATAGATTAGTGGAAACCATCATAGTATACTACACCTTGCAAAGATTGAAAAAAAAAACATATGTAAAAAGATACTAGGCTGATAAGAACGAGTAAGCATCCAATATTTACCTCATCCATAGCGAGCACAGAACAATCTTTCAAAACACAAACACCTTTCTTGGTGAGATCCAGAATCCTCCCAGGAGTTCCAACCAGCAAATGGACAGGCTGATACAAACGCATGATATCATCTTTGAGACTGGTGCCTCCAGTGGTCACCATGACTTGAATATTCAAATGCTTCCCCAGCTCCTTACACACCTGTGATGTCTGAAGGGCTAACTCTCGAGTTGGCACAATTATCACAGCTGCAAGCAAGACAGTTCAAAGCTCTATATTAGAAAAGAACATTTCAGTCCACATGAAAAGTCAAATGGTGTTAGATACTACTAGAGTTACCTTGAATAACGTTGTTATCTTGGTCAATTTTTTCCAAGACAGGAATACAAAAGGCGGCAGTCTTGCCAGTACCGTTCTTAGCACGGGCAAGGATATCTCTACCAGTCAAGGCGATGGGAATACTCTCTTCCTGAATAGGAGAAGGTCTTTCAAAACCCTTCTCATAGATTCCCATTAGTAGCTCTCGTTTCAGAAAATAATCTTCAAACTCATTTCCCTTAGTGGCTGTCACATCCTAAGATAATGATAACAACAAGTGAAGAGTTATGCAAATGCCATCCCATGCAATCGGTTACTCAAATAGACTCTCACATAATTTTGTATAAGAAAAAAAAAAGAGTTTGTTTTTTATGATAGACAGACAACAGCAACTGAGACAAGTGAAATAAGCAAGTCTATGTGTTGAAGGTGTTACCTCAGTTCTGTAGCGAGTATCAGGTGCTGGCAGTTTTAGCCTTGCTTTCCAGTCTTCCGAACTAGTGAATGAGCAAAGAAAAGAGCATAATGAATATAGAGCCAAGATTTAATAAGCCTTCTTATCTCTATCACAAGCACAAAAAAATGAAACCAACACTACACAGCTGTGTGACACTGAGAATTATAATTCGCTTTAAGACAAAGAGATAAAATTGATAGCAACGACATCATCCTAGAAGTTCCAAACTAGAACAAGAAACATAAAAGAAGAAGACAGAAGTACTAACTTTGTGTCGACAGCTTCGGACTGAACAGTTTTCTCAACTTCTACGACAGCATCGCCGTTACTGTTACCGCTAGAGATCTGGGGTGGTCTTCGAAGCCATTGCTGTTGCTGTTGTTGTTGTTGTTGATACTGATGTTGCTGTTGGTATTGACGCGGGGGCTGAGACGTGGCTTGCTGAAACTGCTGTTGCTGCCCGTAACCGCCTCCTCGCTGAACGTACTGTGGCTGAGGCTGCTGCTGTTGTTGGTAACCCTGGCGAGACTGGAAATTAGGGTTAGGGTTAATGGCTCCACGGCCAGCGCCAATTCCTGGAGGGTACCTTCCTCCTCCTCGGTTGTTGTTGTTGTTGTTGTTGTTGTTCATCATCACAACCCTAAACCTTTTTCTTCTTCTTCTTACGGATCTCTAAAACGCTAAATCTGCCTACGGAGAGATTTGTACAGCAATTTAAGAAGAACACCGTCTATTGTTTCCTAACGTATTGACAAAAATTGCGATTGAATTAAAAAGAGAAGAAGCTCTTGCGGAGAAATCTAGGGTTTTTGTAGACCGCAAAATCGGAGAAGAACGGATCTGGAACAAATAAATTTAAAAACTCCAAAATGAAAGCGAGATCTGGGGATTTGATAAAATTTGTTGAGAATTTTCGTAAGAGGTCCACGTGAGGAAGAGAAGAGAGCTATATCAATCAATCAAAGGGTTCTGGGTTGAGACAAGAGAAACGGACAGACTCGGGAAGACAAACCTCCTCTTGTGTCTAAATCATTTTATATTATGTTTTGTGGTTTCTTGGGTATTCGGTTAGGGCTAGTGGGATACACGGAGAAGCTCCACAGCCTGGCCTTTTGGGCTTTGTTGTGTGCTTTTTTTTTATTTTCTTCTGAAATTCATAAAACTACCCTCTTTTCTTTTCTTTTTTATTGATTAACCCATCCTTTCATTTTCTTACAAATTCATCTTTTTACTAAAACTTCAATAAATTAATAATATGGAAACTATACAAAAACTATAATTTTTTTATTAATTATAAAAACTATTGATTTATCGATATACTAATTAAAGCAAAACCTCAATTTAGAACTATAAAAGTATATTATTTTATATAAATTTTTAATGTATATCTATACTATTATTTAAGAATTAAATTTGCTTAGTTGTCATGTTCTCCACAAGTTTAGTAAATATTGTTTATTTATCATATTTTTAATCTTTATATATAGTTTATTTATAAATAAAACAAATCTATATGAATATATCATATTTTTAGAAGATAAGATAATTCTTGTGAATTATGTTGTTATTTTGAAATATATTTTTGTATATAAATCTTAAATTTTAAATTAAGATATAAAAATTATTTATTTATTATATAGCTAAAATGAATATATATCAATATTTTTTATATTTTTCTAAAATAAAATAATTCTTATGTATTATGTTGTTATGTTGAAAATATATTTTCCTATTATAAAATTTAAAATTAAGATATAAAATTACATTTTTAATAATTAAATATAAATCATCAAAACAATTATTTGAAAAGTGAATTTGTTGATTTGTCTCCATGATACTATGTAATTTTGATCATTTATCAGAATTTCTCTAATTTTGTTTATTATTGATTATATAATTAAGACTAATATATATTAATAATATGATATATTATAAAATAAGTTAATCCTTATGTATTATGCTGTTATTTTGAAAATATATTTTTCTATTATAAAATATACAATTAACATGTAAAAAATATATACTATTATTTAAGAAGTGAATTTGATGTTTGCTGATTTTTTATATTTTCCTTGATTTTAGATAATTTTGATAATTTATCCTAATTTCTATAATTTTATATATAATTTATTATATATTTATAACAAATTTATATTAATAGTATCAGATTCTTAGAAAATAAGATAATTCTTACTTATTAAGTTGATGTCTTGAAATTATATTTTTCTATTAGAATTAAGATATAAAAGTTATATTAATTCTATAACTGAAATAAATTTACACTAATAATATTATACTTTTATAAAATAAGGTAATTCTTATGTATTATGTTGTTATCTTGAAAATATATATTTATATAATATAATTTAAAAGTAAAACAGAAAATTATCTATTAATAATTAAATATAAATCATCACTCAAGAAAAATTATTTAAGAAGTGAATTTGTTGATTCATTAAGTTCTCCATAATTTTAAATAATTTTAATTATATATTATAATTTCCATAATACTATATAATTAAAAAAAATTATCATATTATATTTTTAGAAAATAAATAACTTATGCATCATATTGTTATCTTGAAAATATTTTTTTCTATTATAAAATTTAAAATTAAGATATAGAAATTATTTTTAAATATAAATTAAGTAAAAATAATAGTATAGATTATGTTGGTTTTTAAATTCATGAAATATCAACTAATAAATATTCATACGAGAATTATGCCCGCAAGTGCGGGCAAAACAATTAGTTAGTTTATAAAATATTAATTTAAAGAGATTATATTCTACATGTTTTTCAATTATCAACAGTTTAATATGTATAATATGTCGCCAATATTAAAGACAGTCTTTTGTGTCGACACTGGGTTTGACTGGTTCTCCCGCCATCACCCGCAAACGCAGCTTTTGCGGTGCTTTTCGGTTGGTAATGGTTATTGGTTTTTTGCAACAATCACAGAAAACTCTATAAACGCTTCAAATCGCTCTGAATCTCTAAAATTCAAAAGCTGGTTTCAACTAGCGTTTGCGGTTGCGGACGATTGCACGAAGATAAAAAATATTTTTTTTCCATAAAATTATATAAATATAAAAATAAAATATTCAATTAAAATTTTAAACTAAAATAATTTTAATACTGAAATATTTATATTATAAATTTTCCAAAAAATATTTTCTTTGTAAAAATTTAATAATGCAGTTTTTCAATAAAATTTTTATATTTATCATGAAAATATGATTTTAATATTATAATAATTATATAAAATATAAATATTGTTAATTTATTACTTAACCGCCGTTGTATTTGATGATAAATCAGTCATAAGTATTCCGCAAACACAACAATTTTTAACCGTTGAATCAGTCGTATAAATTTCTTTCAAACGATTAAAACGGCAATCTCTCGCATCTGCAAACGCCCATAACCGCAACCACAATCGCTGCATTGTAACCAGTCAGGCCTTAGAAACATATTGCAACACTCTCAGTAATTAAAGACATTTTTAGTTATTGTCGTGAATACGTCATTAACAAGAAGCAATGATGAAAAAAATCAGCTACGATTCATAAGATGATGTTAGGCTTTGAATTAGAATTGGACTCCATAAATTAAATCCTTACATACTCTTCACTTAACTAATTAAACTATATTTTGACCCGTATATATGTGTGGATGTCTATTTAATTTATATATAATGTTCAAAGGATGTTTAATCTATTAAAACCGAACCAATTAAAAACAAACTGAAATAGAGAAAATAGTTTAGATTTGGTAATACTGAATAACTGAATGAATTTTTTTAAACCACAGTATATAGATATTTTTTGGTATATAAACTGATTAAACCAAATAAACTGATTAATTAAAATATAGTAGTATGATTATATATAGATTATATAATACAATTAATAATATATACATAATTTATTTTATTGATGTGATTTTCATATTTAATTGTAAATTTTATTAATTAATATTTGGTTTTAAGTTAAAAGTTATGGTATTACTTATTTTTATATTAAAAATTGTTTTTGTTAGTAAATTAGTATGTTTGCTAATTATTGCAAATATTAAAATGAAGCAAAAAATATTCTTATTAAGAATTGAAAATAGTTATCCCCTTTATATTATTTGAGGATCATTTTTAACTATTAACCTTATATCCGTGTGTGATTAACAAGAATGTCATTACTTATGTGTCATCATGAAAATCATTTTCACAGCCTTTATTAAATAGTCCTTCTTTGCATAGACTAATTACATGTAATGCCATTACTCATTAAAACATAGTAATATGAAGAGATTATATAAAAATCCGAACAAATGATCTAGTGTTTTCTCTCTCGGGCACAGTAGTAGAAAAAAGGTTTTAACCGTTGACTTTGTCGATCACTGCTCCTCTTTGTCCTCTGGTTATTTCCTGGTTTAGTAAAATTCTTTTATTCGGATCTACTTTTTCAAAAAGTCTCCCTTCTTTTAGAAGTAACTGTTGGGTATTAGCACGTCACACTCTATTACCCACCAGTCATTAGATCCACCACCGCCGGGTTCAGCCCCCGACCATCGTCGGAGGGCCAGCTAGGGTCTCCCTGCGCCGTCACGATGTCTGCAGAAAGCGTCCTCCCTCCAGAACCTGAGTACATCCGAATCTCGACCTACCTTGAAGAAGCAGTAAATGCTATGGATGCCTCGGTTCAACTTGTTTGGCTGTCTCTCTGAGCATTTAAGGGATCATCCTAGGTTGTTATAACCTCATTTACTCTGCTATAATCCGACGTTACGCTACCTTGCTGATCAAATACCTCTACATATCTTCTCTCTCTCGATTGAGTATAATCAGCTTCGGTATAAACCTCGACTCTGCTCTGTCCTCTACTTTCTTCACTATGTATGGAAGATTCTCACGAGCGGATAAAGGAAAATGGGTCCCGTCTGATTCTTAGGAACCCAAACGCCCTCCAGTCCGAATCCCGCACAGCAACAATGAAAACTTGATTGCAGCTAACAAACTTACCATTATTGGTCGGGTAACGAACCCTCTACTTCAACACCCCCGAGCGATCATCGACTTTCTACCTCAAGTGTGGAATCTAGAAGGTCGTATAGCGGGTAGAGAACTAGGACCTGATAAGTTTCAATTTCGGTTCGAGTCCGAAGCAGACCTTACAACTTTCCTGAGTAAAGGACCCTACCATTACAAACGATGGATGCTTATTGTCCAAAGATGGGAGCCAGTGATCTCTGAGACCTTCCCGTCAACCATCTCCTTTTGGATCAGAGTCCGTGGACTCCCACTACATTTCTGGAATGACTCTACCCTGGATACAATAGGAGGCGTGATAGCAATAGTCTCAGGAAAGGCAGCAGATGATGCCCGTATCAAACTCAACTTGAATACCCCAATTCCACTCCCAATGGACCTGGAAATCGAGCTGCCTTTTGATGATGTCATTACGGTGGAAATTTGAATACCTAAAGCTAGAAAAACATTGCTTTGTTTGCTTCTCCCTCTTTGATGAAGAGAATGATTGCCCTGCCAGACCTAGAAACCTCCCCCCACCAAAAGAGAGGAATTTGGGCATCACTCAACGCTTAGCACTTCAGCGAATTGAAAGTGAAAAGAGACGGCATGATGATCGAAGGGGTTATTCTCGACCAGTGGCCTCAGACAGAGGTCACCATAACAACTCGAAGGATCAGAGAGATCATAGATCCTTCTCCTCTTACAACAGAACTGGAAGAGTCTCTCCTAGGAGAAGTTACTCCAATTTTCCAGTTCCAAGAAGGACCCCTCGTGGAATTTACTCTCGCTCCAGTTCCAAGAAGGAGCTCTCTAGTATTAAATTAGTGAGCAGGGGAGGTGATCTTAATCCTCCTATAGCAAAGAGACTTTCAGGTGATAATACCTCCAAACATATGGTCTCTCAATCCTCTCACACGCCTCCTCCTCGCCCACTCCGAGAACAGCTAGAACTCTCAAAAGACCATAGCTCTGGTAGAAGTCACACTGTCTCAGGTGGTCGCACTCCGGCGTTGGAAAGACTCTTAGTCTCTACTACAAGGAGTGGTTCTAAACGCAAAGCGTCTCTAACTTTTGAAGATGAAAACTCTGGTGATGATACCACGCTCAAGACACTACGATCTAGTAGAAACCGGATCCCTGCTAAAGAGAGTATTGGAAGATGATGTACAGAGAATCCCTGCTACTCTAAGACTCTCTGATCCGCCTGAACCTACTTGCTTTATCAGGATCACTATCCCACAATCCCCTCTCAAAGCTGGTGGGAAGCGCAGACTTACAAGATCAGAAGCTAACAAACGTGTGCCGAGATGCCCCCTACAAAGCGTGAAACTCAAGAAAGTGGCTCTCTCAAAGACGGTGAAACTGGCCCGTAAAAGGTTATGTTCTGAACGCAACTCACTTTTGCATTGTGATAAGGCTAGTACTAGTTTACCTAAGAGCACTACTACTCGGGGTAAATCGAAGAAGAAAGGAGGACATGATTTTCATCCACCTCCCCATCCTCTTCCTTAGCCCTAATGAGTTGGAACTGTCAAGGTTTGGTAGTGACCTTACAGTTCCTCGTCTACGGGAGATAAACCGTTCTATTTCCCATGATATTATGTTTTTCATGGAGACTAAACATGATGATGAACACATTAATAAAGAGCTCCACTGCTTACACTACCCGCATTACTTCTCTGTTCCTCCGATAGGACTCATTGGTGGGCTCTCATTTCTCTGGAAGGATGGAGTAGATATCGAAGTCTTGGAATCGTCCCCTAATCTGATCGATACTAAAGTGATATACAAAGGCGTGTACACCTTTATCTCCTTCATATATGGTGCACCTGCTGTTCAACATCGAGCTAGTTTTTGGAGTAAGCTGTCACAGATAGGACAGAACAGAGATAGCTTGTGGCTTGTTACGGGGGATTTTAATGAAATCCTCGACAACTCCGAGAAAACAGGTGGTCCGCTCCGATGAGAAGGCTCTTTCACCTCCTTCAGGTTGTTTGTTGCTCAGAGTGGCTTATGGGACCTAAAGCACTATGGTAATCAGCTCTCATGGCGTGGTACCAGACATACTCATTATATCAGGGCCCGCCTTGATTGTACAATGGTGAATTGCGCATGGAAAGAGAGCTTTCCTTTAGGCCGTTGTGCGTATCTACGTTTTGAAGGCTCAGATCACCGGCCTCTGGTCACCTATTTCAACAAGTCTGGAAAGCTTAAGAAAGGGATGTTCCGCTTTAACTGTGCTCTTATAGAGAAGAAGGAGGTTGAAGGCGTTGTAGCAGAGGCTTGGAACCATTTCCCTCTTGACTCTGTTATTGCTAAGCTCAATTATTGTCGCCGGAATATCATTCAATGGGCAAAGGAACAGTACGCCAAGAGTAACAAGCTCATCCTGCAGAACCAGACTGCGCTTGAAGTGGAACTCTCTACTGATCCCCCAAGGCAAGAGGAGATTGAGAAACTCACCAATGCGCTAGCTAACGCCTACAAGGAGGAGGAGTTGTTCTGGCAACAGAGAAGCAGGATCCAATGGTTAAGGTGTGGTGATAAAAATACCAGATTTTTCCACGCTGCAACCATTCAAAGACGCCTCGTTAACACTCTTTCAGTTATCTAAGATGATCAAGGTGCAGAGTTCTTTGAAGAACAGCAGATAGGAAATGTGATCGCAGGATATTTTGATAAAATATTCTCCTCTAATATCACTGGAGACCTGGCAAAGATCAAGGACATACTGCCTAACAAGATCACAGCGGAAATAAATCGGTCTCTTACCCAAATTCCGGATGCTACAGAGATCAAAGCTGCTGCTTACACTATCAATGGAGCTAAAGCCCCTGGACCGGACAGCTTCTCAGTCAAATTATATCACGCCTACTGGCACATTGTCAGTCCTGATGTTATACGAGATGTCCAACATTTCTTCATCACTGGTACACTCCACCCTAGGCAGAACGAAACCCATGTCAGGCTCATACCAAAGGTTACCGGAGCTCGGAAAGTATCGGAGTATTGGCCCATTGCTTTGTGCAATACTCACTACAAAATTATTGCTAACACTACAAGAAATATGGGTTTTATTAGCGGACGTTAAATGCTATGAGATCGCTACCATAGCGCTCCTTAAAACGCTCTGAGATCGCCCGTCATAATAGGTCCGACACTTTCGATAGCGGAACAGTCGTATGCTATATTAAAATAAATAACAATAGCGGTGTTGTCTATGCAATTGTTAATACTTATAATAAGGCTGT